GGAGTATTAATTAAAGAACCAAAAAAAAGTAAAAAAAATATAAGTGCATGTGAGGTGAGAGACGTGAGAAATTTTCAAGAAGATAGGAAGGAATCTTCTTGTTATGCTAGGTGGAAACCATTCTTGTCCCTTTCCTTCCTTCTTTGATTTTCCTTTTTTCTCTTTCACGTTTTGTTGCTTTCTGTTTTTTTTTTTCATTTTAATATTTTGAAGATGAAACTAAATTATTAATTTATCTAAACTAATGGGATGTAAAAGAAAGAAATAAAATAACTTTTATTTTTAAGAAGAAAATCTAACTACTCAATATTTCTTTAGAGGCCTACAACTTTTAAACTAAACTAAATAAGTATAGATATATTTTTGGAAATTTTCCTTCTTATCTTTTTTTTTAAAGTAAAATGTCAAGGCTATTTTTTCTTTTTCTTTTTCTTCGAGAGTAAAACTAATTAGACAAAATATCCACTAGCTAAAATAAAGGAAAATATTTTTTTAAATTTCTTTTAAAATAGAGTTAAAAAGTTTAAAAGATAGTTAAAATAGTACAATTAGACCTAAAATTAATATTTAAGCACTAAAGGTATAAAATTTCGGAGAGGGTCAAAAATTACATGTCAACAAGACGCACTTCCTAGTCTGGGTTTTTTTTAGGATACACTTTTAGGAGACGCACTTCTTAGTTTGGATCGTATGAGTTTTAGTCACTGAAGTTCTCACCCCTAGGAGACACACTTCCTAGTCTCGGTCATTTAAATTTATTCCTAGGAGACACACTTCCTAGTTTAAGTCATTAATGTTCCACCCCTAGGAGACGCACTTCCTAGTCTTGGTATTTCANTAACAGTCTGAGGTGATCAACAGAAGTTAGTCACAATAAAGAAAAAGAGAGAAAGACAAGAAGTGAATCCAAATGCAGAAGTTGATGGAAGACATGAACTGCTTAAGAAACGACTGAGGTCACAAGCACTACATGTCCGGCTTGGTCCGAAAAGCTGAGGAAGAATGAATTAGCACCTGCAACTAGCAAGCGCCAAGGTTCAAATCTAAAGTCTGCATGAAGAACCATTCAAGACTCAAGATCAAGCTTCAGAAGACTTATAGATAGGAATCTTGTAACTCGTAGTTGAAAGGCTTAGTTAGTCTTTTTCATTTGATTTTGATGTAATAACAGGAACNAACAGGACTGCGGACCGGAACCTCGGCGGAACGGCACCTCGACTGGCTCTCCACCTCGGTACTCCATCACCTCATTCACCTCTGAACTACACGTGACCTGATTCCTTTATAGCCAAGGATATGTAGGCAGCTCAGATACCAGGGCTCGGTCACATTCTCCTTCCTCTTAGTTTTTTTTGTCTCCTCAAATAAGGGTCGGGTCAAAAAACCTATCTAGTCGTTCTTTGTCTGAAAACACTTCGTATTTCCAGTCAAAGAGGGGCAGCTGTAGACATGTGATTTTTGACCCTCCCCAAGATTTTTTATATTTTAGCATGTAAATATTTAATGTAGGCCTAATATAGCTATTTCAACTATTTTTGACTTCTTTACTTTATTTTCGTCATAAAAATAGAAAATTACAAAAAAATATTTTTAGCTTACGTATCTTTCCTAAATTTAAATAAAAATATACAAAAATAGTACCTTATTTTATTTTTACATAATCTTGAAAATACAAAAAATATGTTGCATTTGCATTTAGGATTTAATTTTACATTTTTAAATTAGTTAGTAATTTATCTGCTTTACAAAAAATGGAAAAATCACAAAAAAAAAATAGTTTAGTTTGTATTATTCAATTTTTAGATTTGAATTTTGTTGGTTTTCCTTTAATTTGGTATTTAATTAGTTGTAATAATTATTAGGGTTAATTTATTTAATTTTCTAGGATAATTTGGGGTTAGGAATTAATTTAGGTTTTATTTTAAAATAAAAAAAAAAAAAAAAAAAAAAAAAAAAGAGGTTTGTACCTACTTAAGAAGCTTCTAATAAGTGGTGGGGTTAGAAATACACTAAATGTTTAAATGGAAATAATTAAAAATGAAAAAGGTGATTTGTAATGGAAAATGCACTAACTTGGTGCCTATTTAGTGATTGAAGAGCTGAAAAACAAAGAAGGAGGCCTGGGCTGGAAAAAAATTAGAAAAAGACTGTGAAAAGGAATGGAAAAAAAACGGCGCAGCTTTTCACGACACGACCCCCCCACCCCCTAGATTTCATCTTCTTCCACACACCCATGGCAACAAAACCCTAAAACACCAAAAACACTCCCTAGCAGCCATTTTTGGATCTTCAGAACAAACACCTTAAGCTTCATCTTCTTCAGATAAGGAGCAGCCAACTTCCATGGTTTCTTAACAGATAACACACAAACACAGCCTTCCATCGTCCAAACAACATCCCTTTATCTTCTTCTCTTCACACCCCATTGGCTTCTTCTTCTTTAACAGCGGCGAACTCGACGGAAATGTCGTAACACACCCACACGCACGAACAGTAGAGAGGACATGGAGCTGATAGCCGCAAAACACCCCAAATAGTCCATTTCCAAAACTGTTCCGGCGAGTTTCGAGGTCGTCGAAGAACGTAGTTCTGAGGTTTTCGGTTCGAGGTCTCAATTTTGCTTGCGGTTCCTATTTGACTTTGCCGTTGTTGTTTTGTTTGAATTTGGAAGATAAGGTCAGCTCCTATTTTCTAGCACTTTGATAATACTACTGTATCAGTGTTGATTTTCACAGCTAGTTTGGTTATTGTCGATTTTATATCCCTGTATTTGTTTGACGTAAAATATTTTATTATATTTGGTTAGTTGGAAACGTGAGTTTAAGTTGAACGCCTTCTGATTTATTTGAAGGTTGTTGAAGAAGTACATGATTTCCCTTTGAATTTAAAACTCATTATTTAGAAAGTAAACAACAAAAGCTATGGAAATTGTTAGCTAAAGTTGAAAAGTATTGCTATTTATATCATTGTGTACTTTTGATGTGTTTTAACGATGTGTTGTATGTAGTTGTCAAATTATTGCCTTTATTTATTAGATTAGCAGTTAACTTTTAAGATGCCTGAATGACGTGTTGTATCGTATATCTACTTGTGAAATGGCAATGTTTCATATTATTAAATCCTATAAATACTCTCACGATATTTTGTCAATAAAGAATTTAATATCTTTTGATCTCTTTTATTTTGGTTTCACCTGAACCTATGTCAAACAATTTTGATGTGCTTGTTTTCTGCACATATTGGAGCAAATGTTTATTTTAATAGTAATGTACTGCAGATGTATCCACAATAGTTCTTCTATTGAAGATGGTTTTCTACAATATATTTTGTTCATAATCCATGGCCCGCATATAATTAATTTCAATCCTTAAAAATCGAGGCGTGCCATTTAGTTGAATTTTTCATGGCCCCCGCAAACTTGAAAGTGCGTAGTTGCTTTAGGCGCGTTATTTTAATAATTTACCTTCCTAAACTCGGTGCGCATTTATGTGTGACCCAAATCCAAATCTCAACAACGTTAGATAAAATGTGTTGCGAACCACGGGTGCATTTATGTAGCGTGACTTACGATGTGTTTTAAATAACTTTGAATTTTTCCTGAAATATTAAAAGCTGCTAAAACAATAGCAGCTTTTGCTTTTGCTTTTTACTTTTTTTTTTTCTTTTTGATTTGGGTCCGTATGATTCATCCATTTTGAAAGATATGAAAAAAAAATATGTTAGAATAAGATTTTAATTTAATCCCAACAATTTATCTCATACTTTTGTTTTAGTAGCATCTTTGTTAATTAATTTCACATTGACTTAGCTTAATAACAATGAAGTTATCCTCAAAGGTTTAAAGTGTCAAAGTACATCCCTTTATTAGTAAATGATGTAAATAATAAATAGCACACTCTCTAGTTCGCCTTCACTTTCCGTAGTCATGCCTTACTCTAATTATATAAAAAAAATTAATTCATAAACAACGTAGTTTGCTTTAGGCACGATTGTTAATAGATTATCGTGGCTATGGGTACGATTCCCGTGACATAGTTATGATACCTAATTCCCAAATTCGGGGGTGCATTTCATGTGACCCGATCATAACAATTTCAAACAATAATAAAATAAACATGTCGCGAATCGCGAGTGCATTTCATGTAGCGTGATTCGCGGTATGTGCCAAAACGGCAAGTGTACGACAATCGTAACTTGTTAAAGAAATAATTCCATAAATCCTAAAAGCGGTTTAAAATAATTAAAAAACGGTTATAAAAGTAAAAAATGCAATAAGTTTAAAACGTGTAACAAATCAGATAATTAGGCCAATTTTAATAGTTTAAGCGACCGTGCTAGAATCACGGAACTCGAGAATGCCTAACACCTTCTCCCGGGTTAACAGAATTCCTTACCCGGATTTCTATTTTCGCGGACTGTAATACAGAGTCAATCTTTTCCTCGATTAGGGATTTGAACCGGTGGCTTGGGACACCATAAAATTATCCCAAGTGGTGACTCTGAATCTTTAATTGAAATAATCCTGTTTCGATTGTCACTTAAATTGGAAAAAACTCTCTTATACCCTTTCGGGTGTAGGAAAAAGGAGGTGTGACAACTCAAAAGCATTTTTCCCCCTTCTAAGAACCTGTTTGTCCATAGATTATTTTTCCCTTTTTTCGGAGTTTGTCCATAAAAATTTGTAAGTTTTTGGAAATTTATTGAAAATAAATTTTTCACAAAAAACCTTTTTTCTCAATCATAAAACTGCAACATTTTTTCAAGTGAAATGTCCGGACATAATTTCAAATTTCAAATACCATTTTTCAACTTTAACTCCTACTTATTTTTTAAAATCAAAATTTTATGTCCAAACGCCTACTAAAAGCTTGGCCAAACAGGCTATAAGCACCCAATTGTATGATCGGCAAGGGTCTTGCCGATCATACAAAGAGGGTTAGTAATAATGATGTAATTTATGACAAAAATGATGAGATAATCAAACAAGTTGAAACAAACAATTAAAGGATTCTCAGTGTAAAAAGGAGACTCTTCCCCTTGCCAACTCTTAACAAGAAATTCAACAGTATGTCAAAATCCAGAACACATTTGTGTTTAGCTCTCCTCCCTTAAACTTTCCAGCCCCCATCTCCCAAAAATGTACAAAGCAAGAAATGACATCAGAAATGTGTTGCTTACAAAGAAAGAACATAAAAGTTGCATAATACTCACAGAAACAAAATTAAAATGGAAAATTTTGATGACTTGACATGAGAGGTTAACCAAAAAGAAAATAACTTCCCACTTAGTTGATGAATGATGAAGTCCCTTGAGGTCTCTATATGTCCATAAATGAGATCTCAAGGTGATTCATGATTTCCTCGGCAAATGGAGAGTTTACGCTCAAGTAAGATCGGTCAGCTCCACAGTCCAATCCCCATATCATAGTGCACAGATAAATTTACGATCAAAGAAGATTGATTTGAAGGTACAAAAGGGAGATTGAGCGACATCCAAATTTGATTAGTAGGCATAGGTAGGAATTATACCAAGTACTAATTGTGTTTATTGGCTAAAGATGGCCTCCACTCTATCCAACGACGCTTGTAGTCGTCCAGAATTCATATTGAACAGTGGTTCACCAGTACCTAAAGCCCTGCAAATGGATTCCAGAATTCATATTAGGCACACGCACCGTCAAGTTTCAGTCAGTTTTAATTCTTAAAGCACTTTATTGTCAGGGGGTAAGAACCCTAGTGATTTCCTACAAAGGACAGTCCAGTGCACTAAGCTCCAGCTACGTGCGAGGTCCGGGGAGGGGCCGGACCGCAAGGGTCTATTGCACACAGCCTTACCCTGCATTTCTGCAAGAGGCTGTTTCCATGGCTCGAACTTGTGACCTCCTGGTCACATGACAACAACTTTACCAGTTACGCCAAGGCTCCCCTTCAAGTGATTTCCTACAAAGTGAACGGCAAATGAGGATGAGAAAACTTGCCCAGTAACTTCTGGAAGAACATAATCTGCTTTCCATCCAAAACGGAAATCCACACCAGGACATAATCCAAGTGATGTTTTATTCCGGATGCTGGAAACACCATCTCCGCCGAAACAAGTAGTGAGCTTCCATTTCCAACCAGTTGCATGCAACTGAAAGCTATGGCCTACTCCAACCTGTATAGATTCAAATGGTTAGCCTATAACGTTTCTGATGATAAGGGCTGAGGTAGGAAACAGTACAGTGTATAGGAAGGGGAAAAAAGTTCAAACCTGAAGATTCAGAAATTTTGTCACTGGGATTTTCTTGGAAAGAAGGCGCACTTCATGATGCAAAGGCTCGTATATGAACTTCCATCTCCGATCAGGGGCTAAAGGCTTTAAAACCAGCTTTGCCAGATACTCATTGTATGGGGAATTGTAAAACTAGCCAAGAGGAATTATAAAGGAAAAACTAGTTAAAACCAGAAATACAGAAATAGAAGCAAAGTTATAATGCTTGCACTCAATATTCTTCTGGGTGATTTCAGCAACAACTAGAACATTAATGGAGTAAAATCTTATAGTGCTTCTACAATTTAGACTTCAGTATTGTGTATTAACTTTTATCTTGAGGACATTATTGGCATAAAGCAGACCGCGTATCACTCAGCACCCACTGTACAACAGACTATAAGAAAATTATCTGTTCGATCATTAACATTAGCAAACAGGGAATGTTTACATAGATGATGATGGACAAGATATATTAAAGCTCCAAGTCCATTGTTGAGGTAGTATCAAGGACATGAAGATAAAAAATAACATGAAAATGGGGCTTTGCAGGACAAGATCCAGCTTTCACTGGTTGAAAATCGTTGGTAGAGGTCAGAAATGGTGGAGGCATTATCAAGTAAGTCGGTTATAAGTGTCGTACTCTCGCTGCCATCAGTATATCCACAACTAAATCTCCAGAAGGTATATACAAATCTAACCAATAACTAGCTTTCTGCTACCTCTGTTTGCAATAGTACGTTGCTCCGTCTCAACAACAAACCCAGTGAATTCCTACAAGTGGGGACTGGGGAGGGTGAGATGTACGCAGCCTTACCTTCACTCTGTAAGGTAGAGAGGTTGTTTCCGGAAGACCCCCGGCTAAAGAAAAGATAAAAAGAAGCAATGACAACAAGTATAAATAACAATAAGATAAAAAGAGGACTGAAACCAAAGTAGCAAATAAACGGTGGTAATAACAGTCTAAGAATAAATGGATAACAAACTAACACTAATGCTAACGAACAGAGGCAGACAAAGGGAGACGCTCGACTACCTACTAGCCTTCTACCCTAATCCCCGACCTCCACACCCTCCTATCAAGAGCCATGTCCTCACTAAGCTCCAGCTGCGCCATATCGGCCTAATCACCTCTCCCCAAGAACGTTGCTCCATCTCTATCCAAGAAAAAGAGGATTCCCACTTGTAATAACTCATACTAACGAGTACAACTTTCCGAATTTAATTGAACGTAATCAAAAACGTCTTGAAACTTTGTAATACAATAGTCCCATTACACTAATAACAACGAAAGCATCAAAGCACTATATTCATATAATTGACCCAACTAGTTTGAGACTGAAATGTAGTTCATTGATTAAACACGTAAAGATAGATGGTCAGTGAGAAATTAGTACCTCCAAGTTAACACCAACTCGATAGCCCTCAATTTCTTTTCTGAACTTGAGAAAAATCTCTGAAGGCATCAGATTGACATTGTAAAGCTCATCCCATGATGTGGGTTCTTCGCCACTACGACTCGGACCACCTTCCTCCATTTTCAGACCCAAGAATCAATTCAAACTGCAATGGGTCAACAACCAAACGCCTCAAAATCAAATCTTTTCACATTAAGCTAAATTCATTATGTATTAATGCATACTTCTTCATCAAATTTAATGTCAGAAACAAGAATCAATTCAAACCGCAAAAGGGTCAACTCCTAAACACCTCAAAATGAAATCTTTACATATTAAAATGATTTCTTTATCTATTCTTCTATAAAAGATGATTTCTTTATCTATTCTTCTAAAAAAGATGATTTCTATCTCTATCAATTCATACTTGTTCATCAAATGTATTGCCAGAATCAATTCAAACTGCACAATGGGTCAACTGCCAAACACCTCAAAATCAAATATTTATGCATAAAAAGGATTTCTTTATATTTGAATCATACTTGTTCATCAAATTTATTGACAGGATTAATTCAAACTGCAAAATGGTCAACTTCCAAACACTTCAAAATCAAAATTTTACACATAAAAGTATTTCTTTCTATATTAATTGTTCATCAGATTTTATTGCCAAGAATCAAACTAAACAACAAATAGGCAACTGCCAAACTACCTCAACATCAAATCTTCACACATAAATTTTCCGTATTTATTCATAGTTCATCAAATTTTAAGGCCATAATTAATTCAAACAAAATGGACCAACTGCCAAACACCTCAAAAATCAAATTTTTACGCATTAAAAAGTTTTCCTTACGTATTAATTCATACTCGTTCATCAAATTTAATACCAGAATCAATAAAAATTGCAAATAGGTCAACGAGCAAACAACTTAAAATCAAACTTATATTCATACATACATAAATACACACAAACATACATATTCATCAAATTAATCAATTAAAATAGCAAATGGTCAACTGCCAAAACTACCTCAAAAATCAAATCTTCACATATAAAAATGATTTCTTTATACTGATTCATCAAATCTTGATGCTAGGATGGGTTCGTTGGGGGGGGTTAAGCGAATAGCTCGAAATGCAACAATTTCATACCTTGAAGATACTACAACTGGAACTGAACCTGAAGCAGTGTAAATTTAGTGAACAAATTTGCTGAATATTCTTTTGCTATTTGAGAGGAGACATGAGAACTTGACTGAAGAGATAGAGAAGCTTCTTGTTTTGGTTCCAGTGACAATATAGTTTTAATTTATTAGGAGGAAAAAAAATGGATAGAATAGCAAAAAATGAATAAATTAGCAAAAGGGCTATTTTGTCAATATAGAGATTTATTACACAAGTTATTAGTTTAGAAATTCAAAATTAGCCTGATTTACAACTGCAAGCTGAAAAATAGTCACTGTTTTAAAATTAATCGATATTTAGCCAATTTTTCATGCGTTAATAAAATTTGAACAAAAATATTCTAAGTTAAAATCCAAAAAAAAAATTAGCATAATATGTTGGAGTGCAAACTTTTTACATATGGAATTCAAGCATAATGTGTTGACTTCAATATATCCTGTATATGAATTTCAGCATAATATGATGGAGTTTGAACCTTTACAAGTTAAACTCCAGCATAATTTGTTACAAGTTCAATGACTTTGCAAACAATGACTATTTTTTAATTATAGTTCGAAGACTGACTAGCCCATACTATTTTGATTTTAATATGTGATATCAAGTTAGTTAATAGTTATTATTTTTATCAGGTTATTAATTAATATTTAAAATAAAAAAAATTACTTGCATGATTATTCTATAAGTGATATAATTATATAAATACTTAAACTCTCTTTAGACTTACAACAGCTAGCTCCACATGATTTTTTATATATCCACATGTTAGAAGGTGCAAAATCACTGCAGGAGCTAGTCTTGAGTTCATGTCATATTATTTAGGGTATGAAATAGAATTTTGAAAGGAAAAGAAATTGAGCGCATATGTAAAACTACATTATTTACCCAAAGGACAAAGTAACTACAAAATTAAATAAAACAAGAAACAAAAACAAATGGAAAATAGGTATAATATGATAATTGGACAATTTTATTCAAGGAGGAGGTCTATCCAAAATCAAGCCTGCATGGTTTTTCATACTTAGCAAGGTAATAAGTAACTTGAAGAACATCTATCTACAAACCAATTTCTTAATTGAACTGAAAATGCATAGAAAATACAACACTGAAACTGGGAAAACCCAAATGTTACAAGTGTATTTACATTCTTAAGATGCCCTGATTTTATATGCCTGAAAGAATAATTATAGACAGCAGATCGGTGCAAGACAGAGCCTAAAACTGCTTACAATATTAAGCCAACCTCCATGTAAACCTATTTGTATCTGGGTTCATAGGGTGATACAAAATAAAGCTAAGTATCTTCTCTATTCTTTTATGCCAGTTAGGTTGGGAATTGCAGCAGCATCGCCTCGCAGATCACATAAGGAGAACGACCTCCATGTACTGAACTTCTGTTCCAGGATAATAACGAGCAAGTGGATGCTTCCAAAAGAGCATAATAACGAGGTCGTTTGGTACAATGGTGGGATATTCCAGGATATTCTATGGATATGGAATATCACATGTAAAAATTATCTCGAAAATAACTAATATCTCAAACCAAAAATGGGATAAAATTAATCTCAAACTTTATCCCGAGTTTATTATTCTTATCCATATACCAAACGACCCCTTAATGGCTAGTTATATTAAAAGATTTTTTTTTATACTTTTCTCATTTAGTTCAAGTTATTTCTGTATCTTTTAATTGTCTTGAACAACCTATACGGATTCCCTTCAAATAAGTGAGAATTTGAGATGAGACTAAGTATTAATTAGCTACTCTATAATTTAGTAATAATAGTGTATATAAAAGCACATATTATATATTTATTGAATTCATGTAAACATCATTTTAATTTGTTTCTTACAATTTTGATACACAAAGAAAATCTATTATGTTTGATAGTATATGCTTGGAATTTCGAATAGAGGGGACAAAACCAAACATTAGTTCCCTAAGGAAAATTCTTTATACTTTAGGTTATTTATATAAAACTCTAATTCAAAAGGAAATTCTATTTGCTTAGGTATATTCTAGGAACTCGGAATAAAGTGGATAAAACTAAGTATATTCCTTTGAGTAACAAGTGAGAAATCTTTTTTGTACTAAGTATATTCTAAGATCGACATTTTAGTTTATACTTTCATATCCAACACAAAGTGAAGTACAAACACTTAAATTTTTTACTGTTAATTAAAATTATGAGTTTAAAATTTAGTATATTTATAAATTTAATACTATGTTCATAACGAAAAGATTGAGTTTAATTGAACCCTCTAATTATATGTTAATTTCGCTACCTGAGTGATATGTGTACGAAAGTGGACACGTAGGCTGACAACAATTGATTGGAAAAACACTTTATTAAATTTGACACCAAATTAATAAAATACATATCATATTTCTCTTACATAAGCTCTTCTTACTTAATTCTGATTTCTGACTAATTAACATCATATTTTGTGATTGTGACTAGTACTTTTTATAGTTAAATTATTTTGCTTTGATGAGATTTTGCCAAGAAAGAGGGATGGTAGGGCACTGGATCCCACTCACCTTTAGGAGATCACTGTCAGTAGATATAGTCTATATTTGGTCTATTAGGTGTCTTCTTGTCTCTTCTCAGATTGAACACGAAGGAAAAAGAAAATAATTAATTTCGGGATTAAATTTAAAAATGAATTTATTTTATATTTTGTTGGAATAAAATTATGGTATAATTAATTTCGGAATTAGTTATTCCGGGATTGTAATAATTTTTTATCCCCATAAGAAGAATGGATAATTAATTTCGGTAGAATAACTTGTTTTCCAACCAAATGGCTCTTAATTTTCAGATAAAATTAGGATGATGTTTACTTGATTTCTGCACGTATTGCATGAAAAGTTTTATTTTGTGTCTCATACAACTGACTCTAGTTGTATGAGACTCTTTTTTGTCTCACAAATTTGTGGACCCTAATCTTACACTTCTGGGTCTATAAAAATCTGCGCCCACAAAATTATGAGACCAAAAAGTTGTCTCATACAACTAGTATAAGTTGTATAAGACACAAAATAAAATTTTGCTATTGCAGTACATAGGGCAGATTCATTCTTCAGGTGAATAAAGACGTTTATGATAATTTTATACATGCTTAATTGTGAATGATTTGATGTTGCCATATTGAGCTTTTTGGTTGCATTTGAAGAATAAAATAATAATCCACTATAGTGAGTCACTGGCCCTCTTTTGACGTAATTTTGAAATTTTCCTGCTTTTCTTTTAGGTTAATTTTGTATTAAGTTTGTGTTTTCTACTGAATTTATACTATACGGAGTATTAAAAAGAGAGTAATGAAGCATGAGGTTAAGTCAAGTGGTAAGCTAAAAAAAAATCACTTAGTAATTTTAAGACAACATTAAAAATTTGAATTATAAATGGAAACATAATTAATGGAAGTAATAGTTCAATAAGAATTATTTTTTAATTATGATACAAATCTCTATTAGTGGTATAATTTAGTTAACATTTTTTTGTATAATTATGGTAGGGACGAATTTTAATTAATTGATTAAGCTTTGTAACTGACCTTATTTTGGTACAATATACATTATTGTAGGTATCTTTAATTAAAATTTTATGTATAATTCAGTTATGATAGGTATCCTTTTCTGAGAAAGAATCAATTAAATTTTTGTTTTGTATCTTACACATCAATTTTAAGTTGAAATAATAATTCTTTATTTAGTGCAAGCTTTGTATCTTAATCTTATTTGGGTGCAATATACATTACTATAGGTATCTTTAATTAAAATTTTGTGTATAATTCAGTTATGGTAGATATCCTTTTTTAAGAAAAAATCAATTAAGTTTTATTTTTGTATCTTACACATTAATTTTAAGTTGAAATAATATTTTTTTATTTAGTACAAGCTTTGTATTTTGTGAACAATATATATTACTATAGGTATCTTTAATTAAGTTTTGTGTATAATTCAGTTATGGTAGCAAAAATAATTAAATAGTTATATATATATTAATGTTGACAATTCGGATAAATAAATATTTCTTAAAATAATAGTGAAAATGTTGTTGCAACAATTAGAGTTTTTACTATTAATATTTGAATTGAGTATTGCTAGGTTAAGTTTGAAAGTATAAGATGATTTTCGAAAATGTGGTCCAATGGATAAAATAGAAGAATAAGATATATTTGAATTTGAGATGAGACTTTTTTTTAATATGATAAGAAAAATCATATTTAAGAATATGAGCAATAGGTTAAAGTTACTATTGAAATAATTTTTATTTATTATTTGTATTATATTAAAATGAATGTGATAAAAGTGGATATTAAATTCAAGTAAACTAATAAAAAGCACATGACAATGTTAATAATATTAAGTATTGAATATACAATAGCAAAATAAGAAACAAACAGAGAAAAAATCAAAATTTCTATCATAAAGAACAAAGAAGGATAAAGCTTATTTAAATTTGATATAAAAAAAAATTTTAGTACGATAAAAAAAGGTCATGTGGATAAGGCCACATAACTGAAGTTTAATAGATTAAAAAAATAAAAAAATCAAAATATTAATAAATTAGAGATAATGCGAGGTTATTTATACTAAGAATTAGTTTAAAAAATAAAATAAAGTAAATATGTCATGCTTAAAAATATTATTAATAAATTTATACTATTTAATAATTTTGAGTATTAATTTTAAATAAAATAAATATTTATTTGAAGATTAAAAAATCATACATCGATTTATATAATAATATTAAAGGATATAAATAGATTATGATATTAAATAAAGAGGCATGTTAATGAAAGCCACGTAAGAAAATAAAATACTATATATTAGGTAACTTAATAGCAATAATACAAAATTTAAAAATATTTAATATTAGAAATAGAAGGGAAAGACGATTTGAACGCTCAAACTATGGATAGGACTATAAAATTAAAGTTTTACTAGATAAAAAACTAAAAATTAGATAACAAATTAAAACTAAGGAAATACAAAATAAATATCTCATATGGGTAACTTTATGAACGAAAATTAAAGTCTAATTTGTATCCTAACTTTAAAACAGAAAGAAAATTTAATTACACGTGATATAAAAAACAATTATA